TGAGACTTTATGAGAAAATCAGTTCCACACCAAGATAGTCAAATCAATGGCCCAAAGCGATATAAAGTTTAAAGTGATATGAACATAAGACGGTGATGCTTTAAGTCACAAAGTAAAAACATAAAATTTTTCTGGATATGTTCTACTGATTGCCATTTCTTTCATAATAAAGTAACTAAATTTTGAGAACAATTTAGTATAAGAGAAATATTTTTAAACTATTTTGTTGACTTTGTCTTCTGAAGTCATGTAATGTGATCATTTTTTTAGCAACCCATTCCTAGAATATTATTTATAATCTCCCTAAAAACAAAAAAATAAATAAATAATTAAAAACATTCTAAGCATGTTGCTTTGTAGGTGCAATTTATTTTTGTCCTTGTATCTTAGTTTACATTTGATTTCACAAGAAGGAGAAATTCCTTTGACCTCTTTATCTTGTGAAAGGCAAGAAAGGATAGTAATAGATTAAAGTCAGAACTAGTGAATTCTCTCCTACAACGGTTAATATATTCATTCTTTGGTGCAAACCCTAGTGAATGCAAATATAGTAACAAACATCCTTAGTAAATATGAAAGTCTAAAAAGGCAAAAGCACTGGGCCTTTCCTGAGATTATTTTAAAAGAGTTTTCAATTAGGAAATAAAGAAATTAACGGACCAAAAAAAAAAAATCACAAACTACAATGACTTAATTTACTAATAAAGAAACTCATCTCCAGAGAACTCAACTAAGATAGAAAATAGCATTGCATACTAAACACATATAAAGACTTAAGTGTGAGAGTAAAAGCTTAGCTCACGAGTCTGTGGTTTTGTTACCTTGGGCAAGGTCAACTAATATTATTTAGTCTTGGCAAGTTACTCAATATTCCTTGGTCTCAGTTCCCACATCTATAAAATACGATAATAATGTCAAATTCAATATACACCAATGAGTTACCAGTAGTTAGCTCTGGAATAAAAAGTATTGCAAATAAAGGAAGAATAAAGATGAACTTCCCATATATGATTTTGTATTTCTTAAATTAAAATGTATTACTTTTATAATTAAAATTAGAATAGTATTTTTAAAATTATCAATGAGGATTAAATAAACTGAAGTATAAACATGTATTAAATATATGTTTCTAATCAATTCTACTCTTTCATTTTAAAGATGTAGTGCACATCTGGAAATTCTATGCCATTTGAGAAAAAATGGACATTTAACTGATAACTATCTACTTAATCTGAAACTTCCTCCTTAATCTGAATGATTTTGTAATGTGTACATTTAACTTTTGTTGTTTGAGAAAGAAACCTTTGTTTTTGAGTGAGAAACTTGTTTGAGGAAGAATAAAAATGTATGAGCATTTAATGATGCAATTGACAATCCTCTGGCCACAGCCTGGAAATAAAACTATAGCTCTGATCAAATATTATTATTTCTCAACATCATGTGGAGTGTCCTTTATCTCCAGCGCCTGAGATCATCTATTATGAGAAGCATAGCAATTGAAGGAGTTCACTTGAGTGCAAATAGATAGGGTAGAACCCTTTTAAGAAGAATGCATGCCTAAGAAATGTTCACCTAATTCATTAGAAATGTTTAGATCATACATAAGTTTCCTTATGTTTTATTTCCCACCAAGAAATTTCCTGTTATACTTGAATAGTTAGCCTTGGGAGTTGTAGGAAGGCTTTTCCAGACTGTTTTATTTCTCTGAAGCACATTCATTAAGAAAATAATAATATCATTATAGAAGGTGAATTTTCTGTAGAACTATATGTGTGTTCTTTATTTTTTGTTTTCAATTTTGTAGTAGACATCTTTGTATAGGTGATATAACTTTAAAACTTTTTTCTCAGGCATAGTTGCTCATCTGGGCACTACCACAAAACTTTTCTTAGTGTGCAGAGATAATAAACTACTTGAAGAGGATAGAACTGGAAAAAAAATTATAGTATATTTAAGTAAGAAAATCCGACTGTTAATTTTCTATTGTGATTGGTTCTTTAAGAGTAAAGAAAATATCAAGGGAGAGAAACATACACTTTAATGTGTGGTGGAAGAGAATGAAATCTGAATAGCAATTGCAGATTATCTAAATTCTATTCATTTTAGTGAACTTAAAATGTATTCTTTGGGCCTGTCCACATAATGATGTTATTGAGGAAGTTGAAAAAAAAAGGAACCAATTAAGGTTAAAAGTGTGATTTTAGATAATTACCATCAATATTTTTCTTTATAAAGAATCAACATTTTTCGGTCTCCCCTTCAGAATCTTTTTTACTCCTATCAATCACAGACATGCAGGAGGCTGCCTTACTTCCTCAGAGTGCTTTCTGGGGCCAAGATGTTTCAGACCTGAGTCCTACTACAAACAGAAACATTCTTTCCTTCAGTTTAACTCCTCCACATCTGCAGTTCTCAACTGGATAGAATTTATTTAGTGAAATGATTAAGCTCTTTTTCCTCTCCCCACATGTGGTAATGGGTCAAATTAAGTAAGAATAGAATTGTTTCAGAAGTGTAATAGGATGTCTGAAAAGGTTGCTCTATCGCTAGCTCGCTCTCTGTCTCACGCACAAACTGAGCTGAGCCTTCATCCCGTCCACTGAATTTCACCACAGGAGGACTACAACACATTTGATTATATGAAAACATGATATATAAACGTGAAGTTCTCCCCACCCCCCTAGGAATTAGCTTCTGGACCTAGAAAATAATAATATAATCTTCTAAACACCTCTACACCCTCTCTAGCCTTGGAAATTTTCCCAAACCATCTTTACCCCCAAATTTTCACTTCCCAGACTTCTCAAAATCCACACTTCCTTAAATATTTGATCTTTTATGCAAATTATTAGCAGGCCTGTAACAGCTGTCCAACTTGCCTAAGACCTAATTAAAAGAGAAAGTGGTGTAAAACATATTATCTCTGCTTCGACTGAAGAAAGGAGCAAACAGCAGTTTAAAAAAATGTAAATTCCAAACCCTAAAAAGAGCCACAGATTTTTTGGAACGTATTGTTGGAAAAGATGTCGACTCTGAAAGAAAAGTCAGCAAAACACCCTTCCGAGAAGAAGCATTCTCACGTTTTTCTCCTCCCAGAATCCTGTAGAACTTGGTTTTCATAATCTCCAAGTTTGAGGAACCTGCTGATTCGCGAGCAGGGGGTGCCCTGAGCGTCGTGCTCCCCCAGCATCAGTAAGCCAACAAGCATCTCCGCGAAGAGTAGCTGCCAGCTACCTGAGCTTTAGGGATCGGAGATTTCTATCTCCTCTCAAAATGCAACTGGTTATTTACTTGTACACATTTTAAATCCGTAAATTCGGCCCAACTGAGGCGGAAACTTTGTGAGGTGTGTGTGTGTGTGTGTGTGTGTGTGCGCGCGCGCGCGCGTGTCTGTGTGTGTGCATGTGGTGTGCCCACACCTCTCTGCCAGTGGGTTTTAAGAGCACTCACAACTCATCCTGGGATTTTTCCCTGCCCCCTCCCTCCTTTTCCGGTTCTCAGTGAAAGCTTTCAGGTTTGGAATCAAAGACGTAAGCATGCATTGTATTTTCACCCTGCAGACTTAAATAGCATTAAAGAGATATCATCAGAGAAACCTAACTCTAATGACCAAATTGACTAAAATTTTATAATAAGTTTTTTTAAAGTATGCCTAAATTATATACCTTGCAAGAAAAATGTATACCCAGTTACGATATTATGTAATATATATGTTCCAAATAAATAGACCCTTTCAATATGAAAAAAAAAAAATCCACAAGATTTCAAAGACATAAAATAGCATAAAACACTGTACCGCAGAGGAGGAAGAAATGCATTTAAAGCACCCATGAAAATGGCGTGCAGTATAATTACCTCAAATTGCTGTTCGCTTGACACCCTGACACTAATTTTATTCAAGCCATTGGGAAAAAAATGTTTTAAAAGCACTCCTTTCTGAAAGCCGGAGCTAGTGGGGGCTGTGGGGTCGTTAAGGAAACGAAAGGGTGAAGTTTCAAGCACACGAAAAGAATTAAATAATCCATTTAAAATAAGCGTCTATGTAGATCGACAGCCTTTAATGCCCACATTTTTAACGCTTGCCCTGTACGTGGATTGATTTTTTTTTTCCTTTAGCATTCCCTCACCAGATGGATTTTTGCTACTGCAGATCAGCAGAG